GGGCGGGCGCTCGGGCGGCGCGACTGGGCGCGCGAGGTGCGCGCGGATCTCCAACGCGCCGAAACGCGTCGGGCGTCGATGAGTCCGACGGAGATTCGGGCTTTGGAATCTTCGCACGCGGCGCAGCGACGCGCCTTACTGGGGGGGGTGCGCGCGCTGGCGTACGGCACCGTGCTCTGTCTCGTCGGCGTCGTCGGAGGCGGCGCCGTCGCGGGCACGATGCTCGACATTTCCACGCGCGGCGATTTCGAGCGCGCGTTCAAGGCGACGTTCGAGCCGTACGTCGATAGAGCGCGCGCGGCGGCCGTGCCGTACAAGGCTTGGGTATCGAGCGACGTCTGCGCGACGGACGGCGTCGCGACGCGGGCGCGCGCGCTGCAAAACTCCGCCGCGGTGCGACGGCTTCGGAAGAAATTAGGAAGGCGAGGCGGCGACGATTCGGGACCGTGGTGACGCCGACGTCCGTCCATGTATTTGTTGTAACAACTATTCTTTTCGTGCGCTAACGGTGCGGGACGACTGTCGGGACCACGCATTCGTGACTAGAAAATCTACGCGCGTTCACGACGCCGCGGCGAGCCGCGCCGCGACGCGCGCGACGCGCGACTTTTCGCCTCGTCCCCCGCGACCGCGGTCGTCGCGCTTCCCGCGCCCACTTCCGCGCCCACTTCCGCGCCCACTTCCGCGCCCACTCCCGCGCCCACCTGATCGAGCGGGAGCGGGCGACGCGTCGCTTCATCGCGGGCACGGTCGTTCCGGGAAATCCACCCTGCGCGGACGCGCCGCCGACGGGAACGCTCCAACGCGGTCTCGCCGCGTCGAGACGTTTCGTCGCCTCGCTCGGACCCGCCTCGCTGAACCGCTCGTCGAGAACGCGAGCGAGCGCGTGCGCGCTCAACACCGCGGACTCCACGCACGGCGCGCCGCTCGTGCACCAATCACCTATGGCGGCGGTGGACGACTTCAAATCGAGCACGCACGGGACGTTGCACACCGTGAGCGGGTTCGCGGCGCCCCATAACTGCGTCTTGAACGTCTTCACTTTCGAACGTAACGTCCCCGGCGCGTGACCCAACGTCTTTTCGAGCGCCGCGACGAGGGTTTCCATGACTTCGAGCGACTTTTCTTCCGGCACCGCCTCTTGCGGCACCTTGTTATCGCGCCCGTACTCGGCGGTCGACTGCAACACGACGCGCGTCGTCTCTCTCGACGTCTCACCGCGCTTGGCTGAAATATTAGACACCCACGATAGGGGCTCACCATCGACGACGTGCGCGCCCTGAAGACCGTCCGCGAGCTCGATGTTTCCCTCGAAGACGATCATCGCCGACCACACGCTGGATAAAATCAACTTGTTCTCGCGCGCGAGCGCCTCATTCGGGCGAACGCCGAAACCGCATCGCAGCGCGTTCTTGAGCTTTTCACAAGAACTTCGCCCATCCGCTTCCTTCGCCGTCGACGCCAATCTGTGCGCGCACTTGCCGTTGTGCGCGATGACGACGAAATCAAACTCGCCGAGTCGTTTCGCCCGCGCGCCGTCGCTCGTCGCGAGCGACCACGCGACCACGTCCCCCCGCGCGTCTCGCTTCGACGCCGTCATCGCGCCCACCCACTGCGGTCGTCGCACCTCGTCCGCGTGCACCTCCAGCGCTGCCGCGACACCTCTGAACCCATCGCACCCGACGTATCGCGTCGTCTCGTCCCCGAACGCCTCCCGCGTCCCGTCCGCGCGAACGATCCCCACCGCGTCGCTCGACCACGTCTTCAGCGCCCCGATCGAGGCGAGCGGCGCCGCGAACGACGCGCGCGCCGTCTCCGACGCGAGCGTAAAGTACTGCGCCCCGTGATCGACGTCGACGCCATCGATCGATTTACTCGACAATCGACCACCGCACGCGCGCGCGCCGGTGTCGAACACGGTGACGTGAAATCTTTCTCTCTCCCGGTCGCGTTCGCGGACGAAGGACGCGAGCGCGAGTCCGGAGACACCGCCGCCGACGACGGCGATTCGCACTCGGGCGCTTGACATCTGCGCGTGGCGACGCGCGGGGGAAATGATGTCGACGCGTCGACGCATCGGTCATTTTTCACCCATCGATGGTGACGGTGACCGGGTGACCCATCGTCGATGACGACGCATCGCGCACCGATCGCGTGTCCGTCGCACACGATGGCGCGCGTGACGCCGACGTCACGGACGTCCATGACGACGTCATCGCGACGGTGGCGCGCGCGCGGGCAGACGACGCGACGCGCGGACGCGGGCGCGTCGGCGTCGGCGTCGGCGTCGGCGTCGGCGTCGGAGGGGACGCGGGACGTCGACGCGGCGAAGCGCGCGGTGTTGGCGGCGATATCGAGCGCGAGACGACGCGATGGGGCGAACGCGCGCGTGGACGTCGAACGCGCGGTGGCGACGCTCGAAAACCTCGGGCCGGGGACGAGGAGCGCGAACGGGACGTGGACGCTGGCGTACAGTTACAAACCGTCGCGCGAGAGCTCGGTGTTGGAATCTCTGTTCGTCCCCGACGAAGCGGTGGAGACGATGACGAAGTTGACGTACGACGTCTTCTTCAAATTCGCGCCGTGGCTCGCGGGATCGGCGGAGACGAGTCGTCGCGGGACGAGGAACGCGCAAGTCGTGGACGTCGCGCGTCGACGCGTGCGCAACGACGTGGACGTGGACATTTCCGACACCCTCTCGCTTCGAATCGGCGTCGAGGGGGAGATTGAAACCGACGACGAGTTCGCGCGACGCGCGTCGGTGACGTTCACGGCGTTCGACGCCCAGTTGGTCGCGAAACCGAGCGGCGGGATGGATTTCCCGAAAGTATCCGCGCCGCTTCCCCGACCGCGCGGATCGCTCGAGACGACGTTTTGCGATGAATCCATGCGCGTCTCGCGCGGGGGACGGGGTGGGGTTTTCATACTCACGCGCGTACACTAGATGAAATCTCGCCGCGACGCGGTCGCGGTGGCGGCCGCGGGCGATTGCGAACGCGAACGCGAACGCGCGCTAGGCGCGAACGCGCTTCGTCCGGTCGCTCGAAACCTTGATGACGACGTACGTCCAAGCGAATAAAACCCCGATCAAGGCGAGAATTATCCACGTCCAACACGACCCTCGACGATTGGCGCGATACGCCGCCGTCTGTCGACGCACGCTCGCGCGCGCGCCGTCGACGTTTCGACTCAGTTTCGTCTCCGCGTCCTCGAGCGCCGTCGTCGAGCGACCGAGTCCGCGCTCGAGCGCCAGCGCGTTCGCCTTCAGTCCGCGCGCGAGTTCGGACATCTCGTCCGTCAACCCGTCCTGAATCACCCGTTGTCGTCGGAGCTCGCCCTCGTCCTCCGTCGTGAGCGCCTTCGCGCGCGGCCGCGCCGCGACGGTCGACGCCGGCGTCTCCCTCGGCGTCTCCCTCGGTGTCTTCACGGACGCGCGAATCGGTCGACTCGTCGCGGCGAGTCGCGTCGACCCGACGCTCGTCGTCGCCGTCGTCGTCGCCGCCGTCGTCGTCGTCGTCGCTCCCGTCGTCGTCGCCGTCGTCGTCGCGTCGCCTCTCGTCCCCGTCTCCACCGCTCGCTCTCGACGCACTCGCGCCTCCGCGCGCGCCACCGTCGCCGCATACGCCTCCACGTGCGCCTCCGCGAGCGTTCCATCGCGCGCGAGCGCCTCGAGCCCAGCGCGCGTCGTCCCAATCGCCTGCGCGAGCTTTCGTCGTCGTCGCGTCGCGCGCGCATCGTCCGCCTCCGTCGTCTCCGTCGTCGTCGTCGCGCGCTCGATCGCGCGCACGGCGCGGGCGACCTCGAGGGCCGTTCGCATCGCGCACCGTTCGCGCGGTCGCGCGTCGTCGCGCGCAGACGCACGAAGATGCGCGCGTGAACGTGTCCGCATCGATGGACATCGATGCAACGCATCGCATCGATGGACATCGATGAAACGCATCGCATCGATGGACGTCACTTCGCGATGGCGACCCGCGACTTGGCGGTGATGTACGTCGTCGACGTCGGCGCGCTCGATCGCGTCGACGCCACGATGGCGGCGGAGACCTCCGCGCGTGACGTCGTCGGCGCCGCCGTGCACGCGTGCGCGCGCGCGTGGGTGCACGAACGCACAAAGGCGCGCGTCGCCCACGCGTTGGGATTGACTTTGTACGGATGCGACGCCACGGCGAACGCGGTGGCGGCGGCGGCGGTGGAAGAGGGGGGTGATGGGAGCGAGTACGCGGGCGTGGTCACCGCGCGCGCGCTCGAACCGCCCACGACGGCATCGGGCGAGGCGTACGCGCGGGACGTTCGGGAGACGCGGGCGCGGGCGGGGGGGGACGCGGGCGACGTCGCGGAAGCCGTCGCGGTGGCGTGCGATGCGTTGATACGGCGGTACACCGTGGCAGGGGTGAACGCGGCGACGCGTAAGCGATTGGCGTCGTGCGTCAAGGATGTACTGTTGCTCACGGATGACGTCGGCGCGAAGACGATGCCGGGACGCGACGACGAATTCGTCCGGACGCTGTTGGAGGGCATGCGCGCGCAGAACATTCGACTCAAGGTTGGCGTTTTGAACGAAACGGAGTTGGCGCGAACGCATCTCGGCGTGGGCGCGCGCGTCGCGCGCGGCGACGAACGCCGAGACGCGTTCGCCGCGTTGCGCGACGCGTGCGAATTCTTAGCTTTAGATGACGGCGAGAACGAGAGCGCCGTCACGGGCGCGTCGGATTTACTCTTAGATTTACAACGCAAGCGCGTTCGGCCGACGGCTGGTTTCAGAGGCGCGCTCTCGTTCGGGTTCAACGCTCGCGTGAACGTCTCGCTGTACAAGCTCAACGCCGAGGCGGCTCCGGCGAAACTGAACAAGTACTCGGAGGAGCTCGCGCATCGACCCGAGGAGTCACACAAAACGATGATTGACGTGGCGTTTAGAAACGTGAACGATCTCGATGGCGAGCTCGTGCCCGTGGAGCGACACGTCAAGGCGTATCGATACGGTAAGCAGCACGTCCCGGTGGACGCCGAGACGGAGAACCGATTGTCCGCGCGCTTTGAAAAGGGCATGAAAGTCATCGGAAGCATACGCGCGAGCGAGGCGCCGGCGTGGTTGGTCACCGGTGAGCCATCGTTGTGCGTTCCGCAACAGAGCTCGAAGACGACGGGATTGAGCAAAGAGCGGGCGGATGCGGACGCGCGCGCGCTGAGCGCGCTCGCGCGCGCGCTCGACGACGCCGGTCTCGCGTTGTTAGTGCGCGGCGCTTGGACGGAATCGACGTCGACGATTCACATCGGCGCGCTCACGCCGCGGATTTCCGACGAAGGGGACTTTCTCTTGTTCACGCCTCTGCCGTTCAAGGAGGATTACAACGAGTACGCCCTCCCGCCGGCGCCTCCGGGCGCTCGGATCGAGGCGAGCGATCCGCGTCTGGATTCGGCCCTCGATTTCGTACGCGCGAACGCGCTCGGGGACGACGCGACGATGCCTTGGGAGAGTTTGAATCCAACGTTACGCGACCAGCGTCGACTGTTCGAGGCGAGAGCGCTCGGAGAGCACGCGACGGCGATCGAACCGACCGCTTTAGAGTTTGCGGTCGCCGAGGCGCCGTCGGTCGCGTTCGCGAAACGATTCAACTTGGACGCGGGACCGGGACCGGGACCGGGACCGGGACCGAGCGAGCGAGTGAAGATGCCGCGCGTACACGCGGGTGAAGACGCGCGCGCGAAATCGCCGTCGGCGGGAGGCGTCACGGCGCCGCGCGTAGATGACGTCGCGTCGCCGTCGGCGAATGACGACCCGTTCGCGCGACTCGAAGACGTCAAGAGTGAGCTCGAGGACGACGCGCCCGCGACGACGCCGCCCGATGTAGACGTCTTCGACGACATGGACTAGTGACGATGACAATTCAGACGTCTTCGAATTACAATAGTTTCTTATTCAATGACATCACCGTGAGCGATTCGCATGTCTCGTCGCTTCGTCATCTGTGCGCGTCCCGTCATTCGCGGGACGGACTATTTTTCTGTTCTCAGAAACTCGCTTGGATGTATCGACAGATGAATTACAATGTTTTTCTATTCGCATGGAGACCGTAATTATCAGCTCATTCATCTCTTCATCAGCCTTATTTAGCCTTTCGGCCTCGTGCCTTGGCTTTTCTTAGTTCACACGTCTCGAGGTACTCGAGCGCATGCTTCGACGCGTCATCGAAGTTTCTCAAACGCTTCAGTCGCTCTTTGTCCGTTGAGCGGTTTAAGTTGTACCAAAACTGTCCAACCTGAACGCCGTCTCTTTCCCCATCATCTTCATGGTCCCATCGCGCGAGTGTGGCCACATCGTTCTTTCTCGGCAACTTGCCATCCAAGTGGTCGCGGACGTGCGCGCTGAAAATCTTCAACTTGCGCGCGTCGCGCGCTGTGTACATGCATGCACAGCCATGTTCGCGCAACACACATGTCTCGAGATACCGGAGCGCATGCTTCGAGTCGTCATCGAAGTTTCTCAAACGCTTCAGTCGCTCTTGGAACCGGATATCGCGGTTTAAGTTGTACCAAAACTGTCCAACCTGAACGCCGTCTCTTTCCCCATCATCTTCATGGTCCCATCGCGCGAGTGTGGCCACATCGTTCTTTCTCGGCAACTTGCCATCCAAGTGGTCGCGGACGTGCGCGCTGAAAATCTTCAACTTGCGCGCGTCGTGCGCTGTGTACCTGCATGCACGTCCAACTGATGTCGTCGTCGTCGCGCGCGATCGGTCGACGCGCGCGCGCGCGACGATCGGCCTCGGTGTCGACGGTCGCGCGAACATCCGCGCCGTGAAGTGAGCGTTACGCAAAACGCCTGTACTTTTTTCGTGACCAACGACCTAAACGAGACTTGGCTCTTCTTCGTTCACATGTCTCGAGGTATTCGAGCGCATTCTTGGACGCGTCATCGAATTTTTAGGGTATTTTATTGTACATTTTCTAAACCCTAATTCGATAGGGGTATGTCCTGTCCACGGTGTGTCTGTCTCTTTTCGTGGTGGTGTTGCTCTCGGTTTAGGATCCTCCTGTATGTTCTAGACCCTAATTCTAGGGGAATTGGGTTCGAGGTTTAGGGTTCTAGGGTTTAGGGTTTAGGGTTTAGGGTTTAGGGTTTAGGGTTTAGGGTTTAGGGTTTAGGGTTTAGGGTTTAGGGTTTAGGGTTTAGGGTTTAGGGTTTAGGGTTTAGGGTTTAGGGTTTAGGG